TCCCCCTTTGCCCCTCCGCGGCAGCTGGAGCTAGGCAGCCGGTCTCCCTGTGCCGGTGCTGATCCCCCCCGCCCCGCCCCGTAGCGAGCTCCCAGCGCGCCTGGCCCGTCCCTGCAGCCCCCAGGCTGAAAAGGGGGGCCTGCTCCCCAAGAGCAAGGGACAGAGCAAGGGACAGCACCAAGGCCAAAGACGAGGACCGGCAGGCGGTGGTCCTGGGCTTGGTTTAAAAGGCCTGATGCTGAAGGCAGAGGGGTGAGGAAGAGGAAGGAGGGAAAAGTCTCAGGCACCGGTTTTTAACATTCTGGTTCTTATTTTAAACAACTTGGGCACAAAATGTTCAGGAACTTTGGCCGGTTGACAGCTGGGGCGAGTCCCGAGCATCTGGCCCGAAGCATCAGCAGATGCAACAGCTGTTTCTCTCCCCTGTAAAGCTGCACTTGGCCCCAGCTGACCTGCCGGAGACCAGCCCCCCAACTGCTTTTGTCCCTTTCCCCATGCACATTGCTGGAAAGGGAGTCCCCAAGGCACAGTGAATTTGGGGAGCACGGGGATGTTATTTTCAGTCCTTCCCAGTGCTACATGTTTGAAATGGAAAATAGAGGGAATTAGGTTACCCGTGTTCCAAACAGCAAGAAGTATTTTGGGGCGTGCATTGGCTTGTAGGCGTGAGCTCTATCTTCTCTCTGCTCCCCCCGTTCACTGAAATCTACAGCCAAAATACACCGGTCACTTTGTCCTCGCAAACGTAAATTGGACCTCCTCGCCCCGTAATTCTAAAAAAACCTGAGTCCAACTTCCAATAAAATCAGAAAGAACATAATTGGGGGGGGGGGGAGAGACAGAAAGAGAGGATTTTGTTTCATTGGCATATGAGTGCAATTTAGGACTACGATACCGTTCAAGCAAACACACAAATGGAAACGTACAGTGTCACTTAAAAGCTTGTGAACCCTTTTGAATTTTCAGTATTTCTGCGTAAATATGGCCTAAACCGTGACCTGTTCTGCACACCGGTCCTAAAACTGGATAAAGAGAACCCAGTTGAAGAAATGAGTCAAAAACATTGTACCTGATCATTTGTTTATGGAGGAAAATGGTCCAAAGCGATGTATCTCTGTGGGGCAAAAGTACGGGAACCTCTGCTTTCAGTAACTGGTGTGTCCCCCTTGGGCAGCGATAACTGCAGCTAAATGTTTCCGATAACTGTGGATCAGTCCTTCACGTCGGCTTGGAGGAATGTTGGCGCTTTCCTCCTTGGAGAACAGCTTCGACTCAGGGATGTTGGTGAGCTTCCTTGCGTGAACTGCCCGCTTCAGGTCTTTCCACAACATTTCTATAGGATTAAGGTCAGGACTTTGACTTGGCCATTCCAAAACATGTTCTTCTGCCTTAACCGTTCTTTGCTCGCACGGCTTGTGCGTTTTGGGTCGCCGTCTTGCTGCATGGACCGCTTTCTCTGGAGCTTCAGTTCATGGACAGCTACCCTGACGTTGTTCTGTAGAATTTGCTGGTACAACTCAGGATTCATCGTTCCATCAGCAACGGCAAGCCGCCCTGGTCCAGAGGCAGCAAAGCGGGCCCAAACCATGATGCTGCCACCCCCGTGTTCCACAGATGGGATAAGGTCCTTATGCTGGGAGGCAGTGTTTGCCTTAGGACAGGAAGGCCTGGCGCAATATGGTTCATGGGGTCACGAAGAGTCGGACACGACTTAACGACTAAACAACAACAACAAGTGTTTGCCTTTCGCCAAACGTCATGGTTTTTGTTCAAGCCAAAACGTTCTATTTTGGTCTCATCCGTCCACAGAAGTTTCTTCTAACAGCCTTCTGGCTTATCCACATGGTCTTTTGCAGACTGCAGATGAGCAGCAATGTTCTTTCTGGAGAGCAGTGGCCTTCTCCTTGCAACCCTGCCACGCACACCACTGTTATTCAATGTTTTCCTGATGATGGTCTCATCAGTTCCTGATAAGTTCCTTAGATGTTACCCTGGGGTTCTTTGAGAGCTCCCAGAGTATTACACGCCTTGCTTTTGGTGTGATCTTAATGGGTCGGCCACTCCCGGGGAGGGGAACAGTGGTGGTGAATTGCCTCCATTTGTACGCCATCTGCCCGAAGTGGACCGGCGGAGTCCAAACTCTTTGGAAATCGTTTTGTAACCTTGTTCAGCCTGGTGAGCATCAACAACCGTTTTCCGGATGTCTTCAGAAATGTCCTTTCTTTGAGCCATGACACCCTTCCACATACCTGTGTTGTGAAAATCAGACTTTGATAGTGAATACCCAGAATTCTGTTCTATAAATAAGGTAGGACCTCCCACACTCACACCTGATTATCACCCCATCGACTGAAACACCGGACTCTCATTTC